ATTCTTTAATTAATTTTTATTAAAAAAATAAAATAATTTATTTTTAAAATATAAATGAGACTGTTTTATTTTTCTCATATTTTATTAAAATAATATAATTTTTTATTTTTTAAAATTTTAAAAAAATTTAGTTGATAAAGACAAATCTTATTTGATGGTGACTAAGATTATCATTTGACTAAATTTTACTGTTAGTGGAAATTGGGCTGTGGAGATCTCCCATAAGAATTGGTTTGGAATTTAGACCATAATAATTGAGCTTCAATCCTCGTAAGAAATAATATGGCATTGAGCCCATAACAATTGGGCTTTAGAATGAAAATTATTTATCCGTTTAGCTTAGGCCTTAAATATACCTTATTATTACTATTTTTAGTTTGAGTTGTATAATAAGAAATAGTTATTATTATGAATCAATTCATTGTGAATGTTTTATCTTCTTTATTCTCTCACTTCCCTATTTTCCATGGCATTTACATATCAAATAATGGTGTACCTTCCACTACCTCCAAGTAATAACAAAGATGATACACTCCATAATACAATGCATTTAGATGGTGATAATGGAATTTTTTGTAACTCCTCCATTAGTAGGAGATTAACCTTTATAACCTCCCATTTAGTAGGTGTTTCTTTCTTGTAACTCTTATCACCTATTGGCCCTTATATATAGGGCTAGTATTATTGCAAATGAATAGAGAACGAATGAAGAATAAATGGAGAAGAAAATAATAGAAATATAATATATCTTTATATTACCTTACTTTGTCTCTTTAATTTTTCTTTTTCTTCTTCTTCTTCTAATTGATTCTTTCTTTATTTTAGGTTAAACTCCCATTTCGATTCCTCAACTATTATATGGACCCCTCGATTTAGTCTCTCAATTCAAAAAATCATTGATTTGGTTCCTACTGTTTGTCATTTTGATCCCAACTTGATCCTTTTGTTAAATTTTTGTTGATGTGACATATTAGCTAACAACAAGAGCATGTCTTTTTAATAAATAAAATATGTGGAATTTATAATGTGGCAAAATACATGATTTGGTGAAAAAATTTATTTAAGTAATCCCTAAACATAATAAAATGACCATATTACCCTCATCTTCAAACGCTAAATCCTTTAATGTTCTCTCTCCCTTCCTAACACTAGATCTGGGTTTAGTGAACCCCATTTCTCTCTCACTTTTTCCCTTCCTCTTTTCTCTTCCTTTCCTTTACCTTCTACAAACCCAATAACTGCTAGGGTCGATGGAACCCAGCAGGTGCTGGGTTTTTTTGTGAGTTTGAAAAGTGGTGATGAAAGTGGACTCGAAGGAAAAATATTGATGAATTGATTATTTGATTTGGGTTCAATTTCGAACCCAACAACCGTTGGGTCGATTGAACATGGGTTGATGGAACCCAACAAGTGCTAGGTTTTTTATGAGTTTGAAAAGTAGTGATGAAAGTGGACTCGGAGGAAAAATATTGATGAATTGATTATTTGATTTGGGTTCGATTTCGAACCCAATAGCCATTGGGTCAATTGAACATGGGTTGATGGAACCCAACAAGTGCTAGGTTTTTTTATGAGTTTGAAAAGTGGTGATGAAAGTGGACTTGGAGGAAAAATATTGATGAATTGATTCAAAAAATGGTGATGAAAGTGTAATCGGAGGAGGCAAAGAAAGAGAAAAAGAAGAATGAATGAAGAAGATTTGAGAAAGAGGATGTTAGAGGAAGAAGATGAGGGTAAAATTATAATTTTAAATAAATTAAATAATTATATTTTGACACATCATTTATTTATCTATGTTGTTAAGCTAACATGTCACAATATTTTGACATGTCATCGAGCTCCTGTGAGTTAATAGGACACATCATTGGATTTTTAACGGAATGACCAAGTTAGTGCCAAAATGGCAAACAATAGGGACTAAATCAGGGATTTTTTTATTTGAGAGACTCAATCAGGGGTCTGTACAACATTTGAGGAACCAAAATGGGGGTTTAACCTTTATTTTACAACATGTTATCAACATGACTTGTTTCTATATAATTACTGTTCATGAATCCTATTTGAGGTGTTAAACCAATTGAGGTAAAGATCTAAGTTAAGGTAAAGTTTAGAGGTAAGAATTTGAAACAATCTAATCTTTCAATTTCTTGTTTTCTAACTTGAATATTCTATGGTGTTATAACAATTTTCTTGTCTATATGTTATTTTACACTTGTCAAAGAATTTGAGTTCATTGCCCTTGATAAATTGGGCTCCAACTATATTATGAACTCTTGATGTGAAAATTATTTTACCTTCAATAAATCTTGAAGATTTAATTGTGGAAGGAAATAAAATATCTCTTGAAGAAAGAAAATATTTTTGAAGAAAATGGCATCCTTGAAGGATTACGATAGAATGATATTTCTTCACTATGAAGTCCAAAAAAGACGAAGAGATGAATATTTGATGATAAATGATTCATTGGAACCATGAAATTGTTTGGAAGAAAGATGATCATAAAAAAAAATTGCAACTCTTCTAAAGAACTAGTTATGAATGGATCTATTTATTATTCAAGTATGAATCCACCAATATTTTGAATTATTTTATGTAGAAGAGAAATTATTATTGATTAGGATATACTAAAGAAAATATATTCTTTTTTTCATCCCTCAAATATGCTCCGAAAGTAGTAATCTCAAGAAGGCAATTTTAACATGTATATTCAAAGTAAATACATGTCTTTTTGTTGCCAACAAAACTATGAATAAATGAAAAATCATCAATCACAACCATTGATTTGATTCCATTCTTGAAAGAGAATGTGACATCATGGTTATGAATATGGTTGTGAAATGAAAATATTTGCAAAATAAGTTGGTAATGGATTTAAGAGTTCATATTACAGATGTGACATGAATGAATATTGGTCACAAATATTTTGTGTATCCAAGCATATATGTGCTTATCATATATCTCCAAGTATTTGCTGGATTTATTCCAAACTTTACCCAATGAGAAGGGAAAAGGTGCAAAAACATATTTTGTGGAAAATAATATTATGGAAAATAATATTATGGATATGCATTTGTGATACACAATTTTATTTTAAACTTGAATATATGATATCCATTTTTAGAATATTGAGGAAAAGTATCTCAAATTTTGAGAAATTAAATATATATCCCAATGTGGGGATGGTAAAGCAAAAGGAGAATTCTTTGAGATCAAGTTTATCAATAAGAATTCATTTCTAATGAGAAGATGAGATGCAAAAATGCACTTATGAATGGATATGAATTTTATAATAACATTTCTCATATGAGGAATTTATATCCCAAATCTTGAGATTCATATTAATCTCATCTAAAATCTCTTAATATGGAGGTTACATATTGATGAAGATATACTTTGAAAAATGACATCTTTATATTAGTGATAAAATTAAGGATGAAAAGTTGAAATTGTGTAAAGTATTGCTATCATATAATGAAGGTATGATGGTGCTTCTGTAATAAATTATATTATGGCATATATGCACTCATATTATATAAAATGTATAATAGTGGAATGGAATTTGAAAAATTGTATGTTATTTTTCGATGTGCAAAAGATTATGTCGTGATGAAATATCCCTGAAAAAACTTTTCCAGTTACACTTAACTAGAAGCTAATGTGATATTTCATGTTATAAGCTTGATTGAAATATCCAACGAACTTTTATATTATTTATATCCTTGAAAAAAACTTTTCCCAGTTACACTTAGGCCCCGTTCGGTATAGCGGTTTTGGGGTAGTGGTTAGCGGTTTTACTTTAACTGCTAAATATAGGTGTTTGGTAAATTTATATATTTTGAAACCGCTACAACTAAAGTGTTTGGTAAAATTTTTATTTAACGGTTTGAGACTAGCGGATAGCGGTTAGGGTCCAAATTGCTAGCGGATTGAAAAAGCTAGTTTATGTAGCTTTTTGTACCAAACCACTAGCGGATTAGAATTTTTCAATTTTATTGACAAATTTATCCATTTTAATTTTTTAATTTGTGGTCACATTTTTTAATTAATA